CGGGCACCACCGGGCTGTCAGCCCCGGGAGGCCCTCGCTCCCCTTCTGGCCGCCTGGCCCGCTCCCTCCCCTATCCCACCGACAGCCCGGCCTGCACGTGAATGCTTGGGCGTGCTTGGGCTTTCGCGGGCAACTGTAAACCCGCTCCTTAAAAGCCGTCCCACTTGGAAGCCCAGGTGGAATTCCCACGGAAGATGTGGATTCCGCCTTTTAGAATAGGGGCGGTTGGTTGAACCATGACCTAGAATCAGCGCCTAGATGGTTGCCTTCCGTCCAAATAAAATGGATCTGCTGGAGCGCCGGGCTCCCGCCTGGAGCCGAGCAGCCTTCCCTTGACTGTATGTAAACATCCAACCCCTTCCGCCGTCGCTGCCCTGGCCCCGCCAGACCTGCAAGCTGGCCTTTCCATTTGCTCCTCTCCTCAACGCCCCCCAGAGGTTTGGAAGGCGGTCGCTAGGGTCTTGGTGGGGGGTACCCATTCTGCCATCACTTCTCACGCGCCTACTGTGTGCCAGGTGGTAATTTTAACCAGCCCTCTCCCTGATTCTGGCAGTTCGGGTGAGGAGCCCCATTTCACCGATGAGGAAACTGAGGCACTGGGAAAGCAAGCCACTGTTCAAGTTTTGAGACCATCATGAATGCATCCCCAAACATTCAGGCGATAGTCCACGTCTGTTTATCAAACTAGTTGGAAGGGCTGTGGGAGTGAAAGGAATTGGAGTGGGAGGGGAAGGATTTATGAACTCCGTGCGGGGAGGGGAAAAGCTATTGACACGAATCTACAGGAGTTCCAAGGTTGAAGTCAGCGTAGAATTTTTATTTTATTTTTTTAAAAGCGAATCATGGTGTAATGGAAAGCGCACAGGACTTGTCATCAGAGCACTGCCATTCTGCCACTTGTTGGGTGTGCTACCTAACCACCTCCTGGGCCTCAGTTTCCTCCTCATGTCAGTGAGTGGGTTCAACTAGATGCTCTCCAAGGCCCCTTCCTGCATTAAGAACTCGGATTTGGTCCAGGAGCTGTTCTGCCAACTCTGCTAACTGAGAAACATCTGTGTTCCCGATTCAGTTCCCTCCAAATAGAACGCCTGCACTGAGACTTCAGTCCCCTTGGAAATGGATTTGTCCAGGCAGACTGTGCACATTCCCTCTGTTCATGACTTTCCGTAGCAGAGCCCTTCCTGAGGTCCGTCCCTCCTTGGCTTGCCAGTCCATGGTAAATTTTGAGAGCTAAAGAAAGATAGGACTCTTAAAAAGAGTTTAAAAGTAAGATTTGGCGCCCTGTAGCTATGGAGAGAGAAGGTTTAGGGTAAAACTGTGCTCTGTGCAGAGCAAGGAAGCTGACTGCAAATCCCATTCCCACCTCTTCATGGAAATTCGACTTTAAGATGCTATGTAAAGGAATTGTCACTGGGGGGCCCACCTTCCTGAGGCGGCTGGCTTATTATCATGCACAGTGGGAAGGTTAGTCCTTTCTTTGCCAAGCTATTGAATTTTTAAAAGACCCTCCCTGGGCCTGAGGGAGAGTCAGGAAGCACTAAACACATTGAAGCTGTTTGCTGTAAACTTGCCTGGAGCTTCCAGTGTTTACTAGCGAGTTGGGTTGGTGTTGGGGTGAGCTCTTTCTTGCCAGCTGGTGCAGTGTCCTCTCCCACCTCCTACTTGGTGATGAGGAAAGCAAGAACACGTTGGACAGCCTTTGTGCAGCCTGGCTGCTCTCCTCCTCCAGTCCCAAGAGATGGTGTATTATTATTAAAAGATAAAGAGTGTGAAGGAATTTGTGAAAAGACACACCTATCAGCTCTCTGGTAGGCAGGGACGCAGAAACCCCATGCTGCTCTGTTGTGCATGGAAGGTATGGGGAAGGGAGGAGGGGGCGGTATGTTCCATCTGCCTGGACTCCCTGTGTCACTCCCTAAAGCTAATATTCTAAGCCTTGTTGTTTATTATGTTTACTCACTGTTGGCCTGTTTGAATAAGTGATTTTTGTTTACCCTAAAAAAAGGAATGCTAACAGGACCTTGTATTTTATTACAAGATGCACGTAGCTATCCGCTTAATGCATGTACTTTGCCATTAAACCCATGTCGACTAAGTCATTTCAAAGTGACTTGTTATCAATGCCAACCCTATGCATAGGCCTAATGACAATACCACTAATTAAATGCTTCTAACAACTTTCATGGGGAAAACTGTAAGGTAAATATTTACTTGAGAAATTTATGTGAGAGAAGTCTATTTGGCTTCCAAAAGAAAAATTAATAACACAACATGTGATTTTAATATTCTACACAACAATCCTAAAAAAAATTGTTTCTACTTGCTTCACTTTTTGCCCAAGACTGTCAGTATGATTTAATTTTTATGTAGTTTTGATCATATGGTCTGGATTACAGAGCACTAATATATTAAAAAGAGACATAGTTTTCTGTTTATTTTCTCACAGGAATATATACCAAGCTTCATCTTCTTGTATCTGGAAAAAAAATAAAAGCTCGTGTGCTCTAAAAGTGTTATGCAAGTGGAAATATACAAGCAGTTTAACTTGTTCCACATACCTTTTTGGAATGTTAAACTCTTGGTGAAGAAAAACCCACAGAAGTCCTCTCTTATTTGAAGGCCAAAGTAATCTGGTGTCAGTGAACACCAATGGGAATTTACTTCCTATTGAACAGCTGTTTTCACCCTCACTGACTAATTGCTTTTCTAAGTACAGTTATGAATCTTTGTGTGGAAGTTTTTCTGAAATTGATTTTGTTATCTTTGCCACTAAGTAATATCTATGCCTCCTGTTTCCTGTGCATTGGTTCTGGTGTATGAAGTTACATGAGAACAGCAGAGAATATTCTCGGGCAAGAAGGGAGATGCATCTACTATTGTTTGCCTCTTTTTATGTAACTTAGTGTATGTACTCTTCACTGAAACCCTCATGAAGAGATTCTCTCCATTTCATAGATGAGAAAACCAAATATCAGAGAAGGGGAAGACTGAGATTCATACTGAAGTTGATTTGGGTTGATCCCTAATTCTCAGTGAGCATGACTGGAGGCCAGCCCCCTGTCCTGTCCTATCTGAAAAATCCCCAAGCTCAGATTATCATCAGCAAATCCTGAAGCTCAGTTTGCAGAAAATCCTGCCTCTCCACATTTTCTAGTTACCCATCTGAACCTAAGCAGATGGATAAAGGCAGTTCAGTTCTTCTGGTCAGTGGTGTGGCCTTGTTGCTTCGTGGCATTATTATGATTTAGAGCTAGTTCTAGTAGTAAGTGATTCCCAGATTTTGAGGCCACCTTTTACCCCCATGAGACTGGTTCCAAAGAAAGAACACAAAGAAGTACATGGCTGTAGCGCAATGCAGAGATTTGGTGAATCTATGCTGAGCTTCTATTTCTGTGTCATGCCTTCCCTCTACTCTGTCTCCCTCCCTAGTTATGTATTGAGTTCCTCCTTCCAACCCATGCACTTTGCTGGGGAGGCAATTGTAGACAGATTCAGCTTTTTGTCCTGTGGACCTTGTTCAAGGCCCTTCATTGTCTGAGTCCACTTACTGGTAGCTCATCTGCAAAATGGGATCAGAATGGCCACTAACTGTGTTACTGGGAGGATCAGAAGAAATGCTGGATGTGAAACTTTGTCATATCTAGAGACTTGGACAGTTGCAAGAGATTTGTAATCTGGAGCCCTGGATGAAGGTTTTGTGATTGTTTCCATATATTGTGTCTTATTGGTAGATGAGACCATGAAATAAATTGTCAATAATGATATTATAGTGAAGACTATAAACTATTCACTTCAAATAGCAGAATGGCACATTTGCCCAGTAAACTGAGAACAGATGCTTTCCATTCATTGTTGATCTAAATGGTAGCAGAATTCTTAAGCCCTAGATTTTAAGGTAGCTTCTTGAAATATTTATGTATGTATGTATGTATGTATGTATGTGGGGGAGAGAGAGAGAGAGAGAGAAAGAAATTTGTTCCACTTCTTTATGCAATCATTGGTTGACTCTTGTATGTGCCCTGATAAGAGATCAAATTCTCAACTTTGGTGCGTAGAGAAGATGTGCTAACCAATGGGCTATCCATTATTGTGATTTAGAGCTAGTTCTAGTAGTAAGCGATTCCCAGATTTTGAGGCCACCTTTTATCCCCATGAGACAATGGTTCCAAAGAAAGAACACTAAGAAGTGATTGGAAGGAGGAACTCAGTACATAACTAGGGCACCATCTAGTCCTCTTTAGAGGAACTTCTTTTGTTCAGAAAAACTGTTCTTCATTTGGCTTTTGATACCAGGAGGTAGATCAGCTGAGCTTATGGTAGGGATGGGAGATGTTTAAGGAAGCAGGCGGTGGTCAGCTTGGTCTGAAGGTCTTGACTCCTGTTCCATTCCCCACCAGAAAACAAAAGTTGTTGGGTGAAGTGTCCTGCGGAAAAGGAAAGAGGTTCAGACAGGTAGAAATGTTGAATCTGGATAGCCAGCGACCCTGCTTTATAATTTCTTGGTTCCAGAATGTTTTAGAATATTTCTCAATTTGCAATTACATGATTGAGATCTAATTCCGTCATTCGTCCTAAATATGGGATACATATAATCATCATGTGTTAGTATACTATTCACTTTTAATAGTGAGAGGGAGGCAGTGTTGTGTAGTGAAGAAAATGGGCAATTTGGAGCCAGAAACTTCAGATTCCAGGCCATCCAATGCCACCATCTAGTTGTGTGGTTATAGACAAGTAGGCTTTCTATGGATCTCAGTTATTTTCCATTGGTATAATGGCTGTTTGGGCAAGATTATGTCTAATGTCTAAGGCTGCTATGCAACATTCTGTGACTGATTTCAAGAAGAGAGGAATGACATTCACAGTTGTTGACTGTCCACCTCATGCATGCCGTC